GGACTCGGGACAGGCCACAGGTGGGGACCTAGCGCTGCTGGGCAGGAGGCGCCAGGCTTGGGCTGTGGGGCGGACCGGTCGAGCCCTCACCTCCAGGCCTCCAGCTCGAGCCCGTTGTCCTCCGAAGCCTTCCGGGCCCCCTCCGGTCTCCCCCCAAGTCCCTATGGAGCTGGGGTTGGGGAGACTGCGACCCCCCTGGTCTCCCAGTGTGAGGGTAGCCGCTGGAGGAACCATCAGTCGGGCTGATCTGGGAGGATCTGGGCTGTGGGGCCTGGGCTTTAAGCGGATTATTAGAGGGCATCAGGAACCCCTGGCCTGAGGTGCCCACAGGAAGATGGATGAGAACCGGGCATCTCTGGAAAGGGTCTTCTCCTCCAGGGAAAGCCTCCAATCCCTTCCTGGTCTGCCCGGGACTCGGAGAGGGTCCTCGCCCCGTCTTCCACCCCATGTTGGCCCCGCCCAGCAGCCCGCTGGAAGTCCCTCTTCTGCAAGACGTTTCCTGGCGCGATTCGCTCAGCAGCCCCCAGAACCTCGGACAGCGCCTGGCGCAGCGCGGCTTCTCTGTCTGGTCCTGTCCCTATCCCTTTTGGGCTCCTATCTTTGTTTTTGTTTATGTTTTTAGACAAGGTCTTGCTATGTACTTTAGGCTGGCCTTGAACTCGGTATGCAGCCCAAGCTGGCCTCGAACTCATGGCGATCCTCCTGCCTCAGCCTCCTGAGTGCTGGGATTACAGGTGGTGGGGCACCAGACCCAGCTGGGCTCCTTATCTGACAGCTTTGGGGGTGAGGTTGTATGCCCTCCCCCTACGTGTGCAACTTGACCTCAGAGTCTCAGAGCCACCAGGGGAGTTTTCATTTCCCCTTCAGATGGGGGGCATTCCTCTGATTACATCATCCCAACTTCGTCCCCAAGGAGAGCTGGGGACACTGATCTTTTGGTTTTCCTAGACTTCTGGCAGGGCCTTTATTCTGTAGGTGCTCCTAAATGTTGCTCGAATGGATGTATGGATGTATGGAACCATTTTAACTTGGTTCCACTATGTATGACCCCAGCTGCTTTGGGGAATCCTGGACTCCAGGGTTGGCGACTGGCAGAGAGAGAATCAGGTGAAGGGCGCTGGGGCTTCAGGGTCTGAGCTAAAAGTGTGGACACCTTTTGCGAGGGAGTCTGGACCCTGGCGGGCAGTTCAGGCCTCTAAGTACACCTCCAGGGCTGGAGAGAAGAGGAAGGAACAGGACAGGAGGCTGCAGCTGAGGGAGTCCTTCCTTGTCCTCAGGCCTGGAGGACAAACAGCTGATCTCCCCTGGGGTCTCCCTGGGTATGTGACAACCCCTTTGCTGCACTGTCACTCTGCTGCTACCCCGAGACTGCCTGATTCCCTCTAGGGAACAGTGGGGTCTGAACCCCACCCCAGACTTGGAGGAAACCCGTGTCTCTGGTGCCGTCTCGCCCGCTGCATCACACCTCTGTCCTCCCTGGCAGGGACTCGTCTGTAAATTTCCCCCAGGACACTCCCAGGCCCTTCACTCTGTGGGTCCTGCCCTTCTCTGACTTAATCGCTAACAGTTTCCTTTAAACGTGGGCTGGGAATTTTGTTGTGCTTTTTATTTTCTTCTGCAATTATGTGTTTTCTTTAATGGACCAAATTTTAATTAAATACTGCTCTGCCAGTTTCAAATAATGAAGATTAAAATGCATAAAGCAAGTCTTGTATAAAGATACAAACAAGCCCTGGGTTTGAGGAGAGGAGATAGGGCAGCTGGAAGACCCTGGCGTGACCTGTGGGCCCTGCCTGGGCGGCCTGGCTCCACACAGGTGGGCTTCTCCACGCCGACCTAGAGGAGGGGCCTCCCCTCCGGGCTCTGCTGTACATCGTGTCCCCTGGTAGAGTCAAGGTCCCGGAACATCTGCCACCGCTGACTGCTCCCAAGGCTGCACTGCCAGCCCAGTTCTCCAGTTCGGGGCTCAGCTTGAGCGTGGAGGATCAGGAGCCTGAGCTGGGCTTGGGGGTGGTCTTGTGTCTGGTTCCCTGCTGCCTCCCTGGCTCCTTGACCAGCCTGCCCACCAGGGTGGCAGCACACGTGCTCTTGCGACACTCCATGTCCAGGTGCGAGCCCGCTCTGGGCAGTCGGTGGAGCAGACTGGCGAGCACTGTGTGCGGGTCTGGTGGAGGACAGGGAGGGGTCTAGGGACAGCAGAGGCCTGGTCCGCCTTGCTTGGGATCTTATGTATGAGTGACAGGGTACACAGTACCCCTGAGAACGCAGATCCAGAGCTTTTACAGTGTGCCAGTGACTGCTGGTGGCTACACACAGGGGGAGGGGGGCCCAGGTGATGGATGGGCTCCTGGTGGGTCTCGGCTGGACCGATTACCTTCTCTGTGGCTGCCTCGGGCCCTGCTGTTCCGTCTACTCCAGGGTTCTCAAACTTTAGCATGCGTCAGGGTCACCGGGAGAGCTTGTTGGGATGGATGGCTCCACCCTGTGTCCAGCCCAGAGGCTCGGGGCTCCAGAATGCGCATTTCTGACGATTCTCAGGTGACCCTGCGGGTCAGGGACTGCACTTTGAGAAGCTGTTACTGCTGATGAGCTGGGCTCTGTCTAAATAAAGGCTGGATGCTGCCCAGATTTCTACCTAAATGGCGTCCTTCTTCCATGATGGTCTTTCATGGGCTTGTGGCCAGTGCCCTGTAGCCTGCTCTTGGCTCTGCCATGGAGGGTGCCCTTCTGGGCCCCCCAAACTCAGCTCCTGCTCTCGTTACCCCATCCGCCCCTGGTTTCTGTTCCTCACTCACTCGTTCTGAATGTGTTTTTGTGCCCCTCCCAGCTGAGGTGTGGCTGACATAGGGCTGAGGTTGGACACTGTGTCTCTCGCTGGCCTGCCCTGCTGACCTGCCCTCTCCTTCCCACAGGCTTTTTGTCCTGGGGATCGGCTTCTTCACGCTGTGCTTCCTGATGACCTCTCTGGGAGGCCAGTTCTCTGCCCGGCGCCTGGGGGACTCACCCTTCACCATCCGCACAGAAGGTATCTTCGGGGCAAAGTGGTAAAAACTAAATGCCAGTGTTTGCCAGTCGAAGGGGAGGTGTGCGCCTTTGAGCCCAGCGCTGTTGGGGGCCTCCTGGGGCCCTGTCCCAGGCATCCTGCCACCTCGTAGGCGAGTGTGTAAGAAGAGCGGGGCCTCAGCCTTGGCTGGGTGACCTTATGCGCTTGTCTTGGCTCTGGTCCTTCCTGTGCCCCCAGGCTTCCTTTGGCCAGGACCCACCCTCAGGCCAGGGGAAGAGGCCTGGGACCCGGGGTCTCCAGCATCAGAACAGACAGTGTGTGTGTGGCTCCTTCCGGTGGGTGTCCACGGTGGCATCCCTGGGGACGACCCCGGCCTCTGGGACTCACATGTTCTGTGCCTCTGGTCCAGGCTGTGGTCCCCCTGGGGACGGCCTGGCCTCGGGCTCCCGTGTCTGGTCTCTGAGCTCTCGGGCTATAGATCCGGCCCCTTTCTTACGGCTCCTTGCCCAGGTGATGGTTGCGGGGTGTGGAGTTGCGGCTCAGAGCATGAGCTTCAGGCACCAGCAGACATGGTTAGCTTCTTGGTTCATCACCTCCTGGCTGTGAGCCACTGGCCAAGACTCTTAGGTCACCAGCAGAGAGGAAAAGTAGTGGCCTTTCCAGAGATTGGCTCACACGTGAAATCAGCTGGCACAGGTGGGTGCCACGCGGCAGGGATGCGACAAACTGGGGGTCCTCGTGCCAGGCCCTGCTGTGGGTGTGGCAGTGCGAGCCGTAGAGTCCTGCCCAGGGTGCCCCGGTGGCCTTTGGGTCGGCAGTGGGTGGAGCAATGGGGAGACCGAGCCAAAGGGGTTTCTGGAGATGCTTGGCTCGGGCGATTTCGAAGTCCCCTTCTCGGACTCACGGGGCTCGGCTCTCTGGCCCTCTGTTCCCAGCCGTGAGTATCGTACACATTCCGAGTGCACAGGTTGTCATCTGGAGCGGGCGCTCTGAGTGGCACTCATCACGCCATCTGCTAGCTCGTCATTCGATTCATCCCTCTGGTTTCACACGCTCTCCTTTAAACTTGCAAAAGCTCCCAGAAGGAATCTCACACTTATTAGTCATTCAGGCTTGGGTGTAAGTTAATTGATCCCATTTCTGACTCGCGCAGATCCCTCGATCTCCCTGCGCCTCCGTGTTCTCCCCTGGCAGGCGGGGGTGATGCCGCCGCTGCCCCAGGGCGCAGGTGTGAGGGTCCCCACGGGCACTGGGGCTGAGGACCGAGGAGGGATGGGGCAGGCGTGAAGGTGGGCTGGAGGACTTGGGGGAGGGATGTCGAAAGTGGGGTGCAAAGACTGATGCTTAGGCTCCCTGGGTGCAGCCTCTGGAAGGAGGGTACTCCTGTCTGGCTGGGCCACTGCAAGAGCTTCTGGAAACCCGGCCTCCGGCACGGCCAGGGCTCTGAGAGGTCCGAGTAGGGGCTGCTGGTGCTGGAGGGGTTTGTGGGGAGCCTTGTTTCTTCTGGCCAGGGTTGGGTGGGGCCGAGGTGACTCTCCCATCCCACAGCCCCTGCCCTCTCCTGCCAGGGTTGGGCCTGGAGAGAGAAGAGCATGAGAGGCTTGTTCAAGTATTTTTTTAATTATTTTTAATTTTTTTGGGGGGGATCGAACTCAGGACCTTGTGCTTTCGAGGCAGGCAGTGGCACCACTGAGCCAAACCCCCAGCAGAGCACAAGGGGCTTGTGAGGGCCCCACTGAGGGTCTGCACTGAGCAGTTTGCCCAGAAGCTGGGGAAACTTTGGCCCCAGCCCCGACTCTTGTGCCACACTGGGGACGGACGTTGTCGAAGGTCATGCATGTCGACTAGGGACATGTGTGTGTGTATGTGTGTGGATGTGTGTGTGCATTCGTGCAGGTGCTTAATCTTTTCATTGAGGTCTAAAATACACAAAGTAGCTCAGATCCTCAGATCCAGAAATAACACAAGCAGCACCTGCGTGTCCCCGTGCCCCCTCCCCGGCACTGCTTTTCCACAGACCTTCACTTCTGATGGCATAGAACGGCTGTGCCTGAGGTTGGATTTCGTGAAGAGTGAGTGGTCCCTTGTGTGGTTCTTTTTCTCGACATTGACAGTGTGAGATTCACCTCTCTCCTGGTATACGGTCGAGATGGGGTCTTGCTAAATCGCTAAGTTGCCCAGGTTGGGCTCAGACTTGTGATCCTCCTGCCTCAGCTTTGTAGATGCTGGGATTACAGGCCCGAGTTCCACTGTGTACTTCCTTATTGGATCACCGATGGATGCTGGATTGTTTCTGGGTTGGAACTTTGGGACTAGAACAGCTGAGACCACTCCGGTGTGTGACTCCTGCTGGGCATCTGGTGGCATTTCTGTTGGGCATTCTTGGAGTAGAGTCTCTGGATCTCATGAGTGCTGCAGCATTTAGTTCTAGGCCAGGGTGATTCAGGTCAAAGCCTCTTCACATCACGTTACCCATGCCCTCAGGCTGGGAGCTGAGTGCCTGCAAAATGGACCAACAGCCTGGGAAGAGGAAGTATGGATAAGGAGGGAGCCTCTGAGAAACAGGAGAAAGGACCCTAATCCAGTTTGTGTCCCAATTCTCACTGTTCCCTGATTTTTTTTTTTTTTTTTTTTTTTTTTTTTTTTTTTTTTTTT